ACATATTAGATGACATATTATATCTAGAGTGACGTACCTGTTTCTTTTTCTTTTTCTGATTTGCGGAGAGACATAGATTCACGGACTCTTCTTCATCACTAGAGCTTTCATTAGAGGAGGAAGAATCACTGTCGCTTTCCCACGCGATGTACGCCCTCCTAGGCTTTGATGCTCTCTTATGTGACTTCGATTGTTCCTTTTCTTTTCCCTTGTTGTTCATTGGACAGTCCGGTTTGTAGTGACCGGGCTTTCCACATTTATAGCACGTTCCTCTAGTCTTTTTGCCTTTTTGATTGTCATCTTTGGAGAACCTTGATTGCCTTCGGAAATTTACCAGGTTCTTCTCCGAATGTTGGATGCCGTTCTTTCTCACGTACCGGTTATACCGTTTAACGAACAGCCCCATGTCCTCATTTATGTCTTCTTCTTCGTCGTCGCTTGAAGAATAATCACTTTGCTCTTTTGCTTTAGACTTCGAGGAAGAAGCCTTAAGAGCTATTGACTTCTTTTCACTCATCTTTACTTTGTCCTTCTTTTCTTTCCTTTCATGTTGGTCAAGACTCAAGAGTACCTGTTCATGCTCTTGTAGTTTGCCAAACAATGTAGTCAGGTCTAATACCGTAAGATCATTTGCCTCTTTGATGGCGGTCACTTTCGGCTGCCATTCCCTGCTAAGACATCTCAAAACTTTATTAGTAGCAAGATCATTGGAAATAGGTCTTCCTAGTGAATGTAATCTGTTTATGAGATGAGTAAATCTCTTTTGCATGTCAGCAATGGTTTCCCCTTGCTCCATGAAAAAAAGATCAAACTCTTGTATAAGAGTGTTGATTCGAGCCAACTTAACATCGTTTGTCCCCTCATGGGCAATTTGTAGTGCATCCCACATAGTTTTAGCCGTAGGGCAATGGGATACACGGTAGTATTCATCTACACCTAATGAGGAGATTAGAATGTTCTTAGCTTTCCAATCGTAATTATACTTTCGCTCATCGTCGTCGGTCCATTGTGCTTCGGGCTTTGGCACAACTTCGTTATTCTCATTTGTCATGGTTATTTCAATCGGACCATTGAGAATAACGTTCCATATCTTTCTATCTATGGAATTAATGTGCACCCGCATACAGTCTTTCCAATAGCTATAATTTTCACCGTTAAAAACGGGAGCTCTATTGTACGCCCCTTTTGGTTCGTTAGCCATTATTCTATCAATGTTGTATTTGAAGCACCGGAGAACCAGGCTCTGATACCACTTGTTAGACTAAGGCACGGATCTAGAAGGGGGGGTTGAATAGATCCCTTTTAAAAATTTGAGTGGCGCTACCAATAAAATTGGTTTTCAAAATTGTTTTCAAATGCGGAAGCGGCCTTGGAAAATATAGTCTAAAACGAACAACTATTGGAGAGCCGGATATGCGTCAAGCAGATGAATTTAAGACGATAACGGATAGTAAATCACTACACACTTTTATGCAAAACTCAGATGTGATTCACTCGTACTATTTCCTTATTCCAATGATCAAAAATTACACCAAAACTAGCAGCAAAATTAAGGCAATTTTAGTTCAGCACTTTTGTCGAACAGTTGGTGTGCACAAATACCTTAAATGATATTTGTGTTGAATGAGTGATTGAAAAAGCCTTAGTACAGTATTTCTATTGTACTTAGTAGTTAAAAAACAGTGTTTCACCAACTCACTCAATCAATACTACAATTTGACAAAATCACTTATTCTAGAATCACTTAATTTTTAAGCTGTAATTGAAAATGCAGAAAATAAAGGAACACAAGATTTGATGAGGCAGTTCCCCCAGTCGTCCTCGCGTTGGGGTACGTCTGCCCTCAATTCTACAATGAGAATTGAGATATGTATTGAATAGATATCACCTGTTTGGTAGAACAGTTATACACAAGAATCGATAGACAATTGATACAAACAATCTTAATGTTGCTGATAATTTCTACCACTTCTTGCCCCTTGATTCAAGATGAATCAAGTCCTCCAATTTGATGTGAATGACCTCCGATTGCAGCCACCTTATTGACAACTCTTCCGTTGATCAAACCTTCGGCACGGCTGATCTTAGACACACCCAAATTGAACCCGGAACGTCTTCAACCTTTCAACGCCCTAGCTACTAGATTGATCAACCTTCCGCTAATCAATCACCTTCGCACTCGCTTGATTGTTGAACCGACGATTCCGTAACAAAAGCCTTCAAAACCTGTAGTCTTGATAGGTAAAACCTCAAAGGTTTTCTCCCAAGAAACACCTGCACCAGCTTCCACTCGAACCGGATCTTCAATCACGCGTTCGAACCTTATCACCGTCGAGCAAACCACAAACCGCAGCAAAAAATTGATTATCTGTAATTTGAGGATTTGTGAGTTGATTGAACGATGAAGATGAAGAACACTGATGCACCTCTTTCACGTTTCTTGACCTGAACACTTTCTCACAATGCTTTCAAAAATGTTAGTTGTTAAAATTGAAAAGACAGCTATTTATAGTAATATACAAAACAGACAGTTGACAGATCAATGAAACATAGCAGAATTTCTGTTTCTGCGCGCGAACGGTCGACCATAGGGTCGGCGTGCGCTGAGCCGTGTGATTCTTAAACCTGCATGCGCCAAGTTAACGGTCGACGCATGACCTTCATGCGCTGACCCGTGTGATTCTTAAACCTGCATGCGCCAAGTTAACGGTCGACGCATGACCTTCATGCGCTGAGCCGTGTGAACTGAATGAAACTGTGTGCTGACGGTATGGTCGGCTCATGGTTCAAAAATCTGCAAAAACATAAATTTCTACAGCTTTTTGTGCATTACGTCATTGTAAAAATTGAATCATAAGTAGCGTGAATGATTTAAACGAAAGAAGGATATCTCTTAGCAAGTTGTCATCATCAAAAACCAGAGGCACGCTTGTGTTGGTAGATACTTTGCCTTCACATTATCTTCCTGTTTTTCTTTATGCCAAGATTGAGAAACTATCATCCTATTTATAAGAAAAATAGCACACTAACCTAATGAGCTTTTTTAACAATTACCCATTACAAGCTAACTTGGGTACAAGTTAACTTAAACACTTGGGCTTACAAGAAAGACTCAATTCAACATGCTAACAACCCTAGTAATATTGACTAATGCATGTTAGAACAAACTTCGACTACAACATGTATCATCTTCGACAACAGCATGCCAACAAACTTCGACCTCATGCTTAATTCATGTTGAACCAGAAGCTACCCTTCGACCATACTAGAGTTCGATCCAATATCTCACAATCATGATCAAGTAAAGGATTAATTGTCATCATCTAAACAACAACTATCTAAACATCAATTGTAGCCAATTGTACCTGCAAGCACATTGATCCACATGTTAGAGATGGATCTATAGTGTAAAAGTCAAGCTAATTGGAGACTTTGATTGTTAGAATTCTAGACTAGTGGCAAATGAATATACTTAGACATATGACATTGATTATGAGGATATTGTTAATATAGTATTATCTATTGCTAATAACTATAGTTAGGAATTATGACAATTTGATGCAAAAAATACTTTCTTACATAGAGACATAGCATAATAGATGTATATGGAGATCCCGTCTCGCATTTGTCTTACAGATGGAACCAGCAACATTTGTATGTTGAAGAAGATGTTAAATGGATTAAGGCAATCTCATTGGGCTTAGTTTGGAAGATTCACTAAGGCCGTGGTTTGTTTTGGCCATAAGCAAAGTCAAAGAGACCATAATTTGTTCTTGAAATATTCACGAAGAGAAAAGCTAACTGTAATTCTTATTTACGAATATGATACTATTGTAACGAGTGACAATTTGATTTAACGACAAGTACTCAAAGAAAATTTATCTGTAGAGTTTGATGTGAAATACCTTGGACAACTCAAATATTTCTTGATAGTTGAGGTAGCCTATTCAAAACAAGACATATTTATCTCTCATACGAAATATGTGCTTGATATTTTGCAGAAAATAGGGAAACTTGGATGCGAATTAGCATGAGTTTACATTGAGCAAAATTATAGGATAATCCTTGAGAAACTCATGGAAATTAGAAGTCAATTTCCATATACGACACTACTGTTTAGTCACATAATAAAAATATTAGTCAAATGAAAGGAGAAACTTCTTATAGTACGATGAGAATAATCTTCGGTACAATGTAACAGGGTGAACATACAAGTTTAGAACTCCAATGCCGAACTCAATGAGATAATAACAAAAGTAACTTGCAAGAATGAGAATGAGATAATACCTATTATACCGAGTGACAACGCTTATATATAATAGTCGGTTAAAATCGTCTCCGCTTAATCCAATGTGCCGCAGAGGACCGTCCAATCATATCTAATAGTAGTTGATATCTTGGTAGTTAAAATTAAATCTTGCTCTCTATAACGAGGTTAATTTGTTGGTCTTTTATAAGTTTAATATTTATAATTGATCCCGCTTTATTAAACGAGTTTAACTCGTAGCATCATATAATATATACAAAATATACACAAATTAAATAACGTCATATACTAGATAAAAAAATATACACAAATTAAATTTTTTAATGTGTGAAACTTAAAATACACATTCAATCAAATTATTTGATAATGCCTTTTTAAGATTAGTATTATACAAATATTTATATTATTGTTTATTTAATATAATCTAATTAAATATATTTAAAAAAAAGGATAGAGTAAATAAATAAATAAATTGTAGCTGACGTGGACCTGAGTTTAAGCTACACTCCACTGCGATTGCGGTGGAGTAGTGATGAAAGAAACTACAAGTATACAGTAACTGCACCAAAAAACGAAAATTAAAACAAAAAAAGAAAAAGAGAAACGAAAAGAATATCAGTTCGTTCCAACCGAAAGCGTGCGAAGGGTTAGATTTGGAATTACATCTTCGCAACCGAATCTAATCATTTTCTCGATTGCAAAATTAGGGTTTTGAGTTCTTGCGATTTCAGTGATGAAAGAAAGCAACGGCAAGAACAGCGTTGAAAAGCTAGATCAAAAACAAGATCTAGGTCTCTATTTCTTGGAATTGTGTCGCCGGAAAGTGAAAGAAGAGTTGGAGGATTACGACGGCGATGATGAGAAAGAAGAATCTCCGACCGAGCTCAACACTCTGAACAGTTCGGGAGGGTTTGTTGCTGTGGCTACTGATAAGCTTTCGGTGAAGTATGTGAGTGTTAATCTTCACGGTCATGATGTTGGTGTTATTCAAGCTAATAAAGTTGCTCCGATGAAGGTTCTTGTTTACTATTTTGAGATTACTGTTAAGGATGCTGGTGTTAAAGGTCAGGTTTCTATTGGATTTACGTCGGAGAATTTCAAGATGCGGAGACAGCCTGGGTGAGTAACTCTGTTTCTGAATTGTTTCTGAATTTTCATTTTTTTTCCATCAAAGGCGCACACTTGTGCACTTTAAGAATCTAGTATCTTCTTGTTAGCGAGTAGCATGTAAACACATTTTAGAAAATGAAAATAGAAAGTGTTTTCACATAGTAAAAGGGGCTTTATTTTCATTTCTTGTATTCACTTTCAATTAAAACTGGTCTGTGTTTATGCTATGTTTATAATAGCATTGTTTGCATTTAATGCGTTCTTGCTATGTTTATAATGTATTTAATGCGGTTTTGCTATGTTTACAATAACATTGTCTGTGGATGTTATTGTCTGTGTGGATCAATTGGATGAGGATATTTTTGCAATGTAGTTAATGCGTTCTTGCTATGTTTACAATAACATTGTTTGTGTGGATCAATTGGATGAGGATATGTTTGCAATGTACTTAATGTGTTCTTGCTATGTTTACAATAACATTATTGTTTGTGTGGATCAATTGGATGAGGATATGTTTGCAATGTACTTAATGTGTTCTTGCTGGGTTTACAATAACATTGTTTGTGTGGATCAATTGAATGAGGATATGTTTGCAATGTACTTAATGCGTTCTTGCTATGTCTACAATAACATTGTTTGTGTGGATCAATTGGATGAGGATATGTTTGCAATGTACTTAATGTGTTCTTGCTATGTATACAATAACATTGTTTGTGTGGATCAATTGGATGAGGATATGTTTGCAATGTACTTAATGTGTTCTTGCTATGTTTACAATAACATTGTTTGCGTGGATCAATGTATTTATGGATATCTATGCCATTGTTTGCAATGTATTTAATGCGTTCTTGCTATATTTACAATAACATTGTTTGTGTGGATCAATTGGACAGGGATATTTTTGCAGTGTACTTATTGCGTGGATTAAAAATATTGTCTGTATAGTTTGAGAAAATGTTTCTGTTTTCATGGCCCTTGTGTATACCATAACATACTTTATGTGAATCTTTTAGATGAGGATATTTTTTAATGTAAATATGTAATTATTGATATCTATGCCATTAGACAAGACATCGATTCATAGACACTATAATAGTAATTTGAAAAAATAAAAGTGATTGAATGTACATGTTTCAGTGTTGTCCATGGCGAATGGCGGTGGGCCAAAATTCCGCCATACTGGGCAGTTGGCGGAGCTGTTGTAGTGGACTATGGCAGAAAAACCAGTAATATCGGCTGGTATTTACCATTTTGGTGAGCCCAAAAACTGCCACTTATATCCGCCATAGCGCCACCATTGTGGATATTTGATAACACAGTCGGACCAACAAGGCACATGTCGAACATAAGACAGCCTTCAATTTGATGTTTTGGTGCTACATTGTTGTCTTTTTATTGGAGAAAATGTTTTCATTTGTTTGTTATTACTTTTCATTGCAAAACTGATCCTTGATTTAACACCAACTATATATAGCGTTGTTCTTGTGAATCAATTGGACGGGAACATATTTTAATTTGAATGTTGTTGTTGTTGTTGTTATTATTATTATTATTAATTTGAATGTTGGTTTGAGAAATTGTTTTTTTAATTTTCATTTCTTGTTTTCACTTTTGATAGCAAAACTGTTTTTATGTTTTTCTTTTCTCACTTTTTTTGGTGAAATTGTTTATGTGACTTGATTGGATGAGAATATATTTTTAAATTTAATTGTTGTTGTTGTTGTTGTTGTGGTTGGGATAATAGATGGGAGGCTAATAGCTGTGGATATCACGGGGATGATGGTCTCCTTTATCGTGGACAAGGCAAAGGGGAAACTTTTGGTCCAACCTATACCACTGGTGATATAGTTGGTGCTGGAATTAACTATGCTACTCAGGAGTTTTTTTTCACGTAATCTACTCATTCCTTTACTTTCTGCCTTGCATCCTTTTCAGAACAATTAGGGTCTGTAGATATAGTTTTAAAATAATGTTTTTGTTCCCCCTTTTATTTTCATTTTCTGATGTTGTCACTTTTAATTGCAAAACTATTCTATTGTTTTCATTTCCTTTCCTGTTTGTTTTTGTTGTTTCCCGTTCATAATTCTGAGAACAGAATTGAAATATAAATGAGGAGGCATGAACAAAAAACAAAATGAAACAAGTTAACATTTGTATTTTATTGCTAAAAGGGAAAACAGGAAATGAAGATGCAAATGTTTTCTCACAAAAGTGAACACACTCTTAGTTTTTCCTCTGGTTGATTATACAAAATTATGGATAGTCAGCAGTTGCATGTTAAAAATGCCTTCTTCAAATCACTATCGACTTTATTCTTGATAATTGATCATTCTTTTTTACTTGTTTACACATTTGTTTCCATGACAAGATCTTTTTACTTCTTTTGTTTGATGCCAGTAAAAATGGGCGAGTTGTTGGCACAGTCTGCAAAGACATGAAGGGTCCACTTTTCCCAACTGTTGCTGTTCATAGCCAGAATGAAGAGTATGTTATATTGCTTTTTTATGCTTCCCGTTTATTGAGTGGCTGCATACTTCGTTATCTGATTTCTTTATTTATGTTGCTGATATAAAGTTTGATATCTATGTTGGTGTATGCGTATGAAGGCATCTATCAGATTAGAGTAGTCAATTGCATTAAATTACACTAGAACCTTTTATTCAATTCTGAGTATGATTCTTTTAGATTTGATTCCTATCTTCAGCATTTTTATTTATGTATTTTGAGACCAGGAAAATTTTGATCATCTGCATACATTTTTGAATCCTTAATTATTTTCCCTTACTTCCATCTCAAAGGTTCTTCAAACACTACTTCTGTTTCAAATAGCATCTTCTTATGACCATTGGTTGAATGTGAGGTGTTTAATCTTTCATGAGTGTGTTTCAATTTCCGCTAACAGGGTACAGGTCAATTTTGGTCAGAAACCATTTACCTTTGATCTAAAGGTATGTACCTTTTTATATATTCTGTTTATCCTTGTGTGTGTGCGCGCGCGCGCGCACACACACACACACTGTAACATGTTAATTGTCACCCTACTTATCACTGCAATTACAAGGAAACTTTATAACTTATTTATTGAAGAGACCGAACCTTTAAATTTACTTACAACCTAGTGATTCATTATTGCTAAATTGTCTTTTAGCTAGCACCACAGTAAAGTGTATTTTCGACTGTTTTAATAATTGTCAGCTCATTTTATTGCAAAATCTAGATTCACTTAGTTATACCATGCTTATAATGTTTCTTAATGTGGAGGATGATATTTTTTATGTCATTTAATAATTGATCAAGAATCTATAGTTTATTCATCCAAAAGAAAGAATCTTATAGTTTATGGTTTGTTTTGGTTCAAGATTCAATGACAGGCCTTCATGATTTTATTTGCAATTTGACAACTATGTTGGGATGGATTAGAAATCTGTTTTTTCAGCTAGTTTTCTAGGGGCTGCTGTATTTTACATGATTTGATTTGTCCTTTTATTAATTTTAATTTCCTTAAAATGGATAAATGCATGTAAGTGTATATGGGAGAGGTTATCCAGTAGCATAAGAGGTTATCCTCGGCAGGCCCTGGGAGGATGGTATGTAAAGAATCTTGTCACCCATCCCTTGAATCTAATCGAAGATATCATAGTACTAGGGCGGGATTATAGATTCAATAATTTCAATGTGCTTTTTGACAGCCACTATTTCAATGTTACAAACCTTTTTGCTTTGCAATTCACAAATTTTATAAAGACTTCCGATGTACTTCCCTTCAAGTCTTTATCATTGTTTCTTAATTATTTATCTTGTTGGATTAGGAGTTTGAAGCACAAGAAAGAATGAAGCAGCTAGTAAAAATAGAGGATATTCCTGTGGTACCAAATGCCAGTTATGGGTGAGATTCTGTTAGTTTTGTTAATATTCAGTTTCAATCGTTTTTAATCTTATTGCAAGCTTACTATGAGTTCTTAAGTCTCTGTTTTATTTAAAATTAAGTGCATTTTTCTTTACATTGTGTGCATATTTTCAATGTTAACATGGCTGTTTGGGTGCTATAGTAATCCTATTAGTCAATTGACAAGGTTCTAAATTTAACAAATGAATATCTGAAGGTGTCATATGTAGCTCGTAGAAGCTCAGTTTAATGAAATTGAAGCCTACTCTTGAATGATGAAATTGAAGCCTAATTGACAAGGTTCTAAATTTAACAAATGAATATCTGAAGGTGTCACATGTAGCTCGTAGAAGCTCAGTTTAATGAAATTGAAGCCTACTCTTGAATGATGAAATTGAAGCCTAATCTTGACTGATGAAATTGCCGTTATTTGTATATAAACCTAAATACCAACAAGCCATTGTTTTCAAATTCAATCTCTCCGGAAAAATCAATAATCATGAGATTTAGACTTGTACAAAATAGTAAGATTTTATACCATATGGTTGTTTCATTTTGGAAGAGAGCTGAGGTCTACCTGTGTTCGTGGAAGTAAATTTATGTTCCATCATCTCAAATTTCTCTCCTAGTGTTGTCTTCTATTGGAAACAAGAAAGTTCTCAGGGGTGAATGCTCAGTGTAACTGATAGGATACAAGAAATGTAAGGGCATGAATACAATTTTTATTTTGATGCAACACATCAAATATAATGAATAAAGCATAGCGCTAATCAATGTCTGTACAGTTAGCATATATGTCATTATAGATGAATAAATGCTATCAATTATCTCATTATTGTACTTTTCCTATATATATATTAGTATGAAAGTAAAAGAATTGTAAAGTACAATTGGGGGAGTATTTATTTGGTAAGTGTCTGACATGAATATTTGGTAAGTGTGCTTTATGGCTTTATATTTCAAATACAAACAGTGACCATGAGTGTTAAAACGGAGAAAACAGGAGGAGAATACAGTGAAGTAGCAGATTGAGTACTTTTTATGTATGGACTAGGATCAGATCCCTTGTTAAGAGAAATTTAGTTGACAAATATAACTACACGAATAGATGGTCCATAAAATCCAAAATGATTTCCACTGCTTGATGGCTACTCGGTCTGCTTTTATTCTGCAACCACAGACCATGATAAAAATTCAAATATTCAACGAAAACTTATTATGGTATAGTAGTAATTCACAGTGAAGCCTTTCTCTTAGGTTAAGGAGAAGGACTCCAATGTTGCATACTGTCACTTTTTGTGCTTTATGAAGGTTGAAATTAATCTATTTCACCTTGGTTTTGTGGCATTCATGACTTTTGTGGAATAATACTAATATATGAAAGTAACTAATGTTTTAATATTTCTGAATTATCATTGCTTGTTATCAGAATTGTCCGATCCTACCTGCTACACTATGGCTATGAAGATACATTGAAATCATTTGATTTGGCTAGTAAGAGTACTGTTCCTCCTATAAATATAGTGCAAGATAATGGTATTGATGACCAGGAAACAACATATGAATTGATTCAGAGAAAAACTCTCCGACAGGTACTTGTTTTTGTCACAGTTTTTGGGGTATCTATAATTAGGATAGAAACATGGATATGGTCAGAGAATTTTAGTTAATATGCTTTACTGAAGTAAGGAATTAGACCTCAGATGAGCCTTATCCTGGTCTACATGTTGAATTGGAATGTTCTATTTCTGAGTTCAGTGACATGGAGCTGAAAAAAATGAAGAATCAATATATTGTGTTCAATTCTTAGCTTAGACCCTAAGATTTAACAATCTCTAGCATGGTAGTAGTACCAAGTATAAAAGTTAAAATCAATATTTCGTATTTCTTTTTCATGTATAGTTTTGTTGCTTACTTTAAAATCTATTGCTATCAGCATGCTCCTACAACTGTTTTTTCGCTTGCAATCATTGTTGGCACTTGTCAGGACTCCTTTTGTGGTGATAATTGCCACTCTGAAAGGATCTTCTATTATATTTGGAAATGTATAAGCTTTTGTTATGGTCAGTTTCTGAATGTCGCATTATAGTTAATAAGGGAGAAAGGGATTGAATGGTGAGTCCTCTTACAAGGGAAGTCCCCAATATTTTTTTTCTTCAAGTGTCAGTATATTGTTATTGATAGGCATTTAATTTTAGCTGTTCTTTGTTTTGTTTTTGTTAGTATGATATGCTTGCTGCATACAGTTGCTGATATACAAACTTACAATCTTATGTGGTTTATCTCTTTTCTTTCGATGAAGCTAATCAGGAATGGGAAGATTGATGCTGCATTTTGTAAATTGCGTGAATGGTATCCCCAGATTGCTAAGGTGGGTACTCTTAGATTATAGTGGTTGTCTTCTAAGTTGTTTGTATCCTGGCTCTATCCGACTCTAAATTTTGCTGATTAAAATTGCAACTAAATCCACCATGGAGCATCATATGATCTTAACTCGTACCTGATGATTTAAGGAAAGTCCTGATAGAAGGATTGTTTGTAGTGATTGTAGCTGGAAATGCTTTGCTGCACTTAAAATTGTTATTTGTTATGTTCTGTTTGATCCTCTTAAATTTGTTAATAATCACATCTGTCCAAAATGGCAATGTACATTGCCATGTTCAATAAGACTTTTATGTTAAAATACTTTGATTCTACAATTATGTAATATATCAAATTATGTACGAAATACTTTGTCATGGTTTGATGTTTCTCCTCTGTAAGAATCTCATCTCTCTCTCTATTTACCCCATGAGTAATAACTAGTAATCTGTCTACTGCAGGACAATGAATCAGCTATGTGTTTTCTGCTTCACTGCCAAATGCTTATTGAACTAGTTCGGGTATGTTCCTTTCAGTATTTAGTTTGTAATAATTGGAATCTTGTCCTCTATTCTTGTACAGCATTTGTATACCTGCAATTAATGTTCCTTTGTTTTCATTTGATATTAGTAATGATTTGGTCTCGAGCTTTCAACTCTTTTGTTAGATGTGTTACTCATTTAAAACACATCCTTGTGTTTGTCTAGCTTTTATGTATTGCAGAAAATTTTTAAACCTTGATATTGCTGCATGTGATATCAGGCTGGAGCTCTGCAGGAGGCTGTCAAATATGGAAGAATAGAATTGTTTAGATATTTTGGGTCGCCTGTCTTTGAGGATTTAGTTCAGGTGGGTTTTCTTACTGATAACTAGTACAGTTATTGATTCACTGCTAATATTTAAATTTAACTCAAGATTGTTTACTATATTAGGAATGTGTTGCTTTGCTTGCCTACGAAAAGCCATCGGAATCTGTGGTTGGTTATCTTCTAAAACCCTCACAGCGTGAAATTGTAGCAGACACAGTAAATGCAATGATATTGTCTACAAATCCCAACATGAAAGAAGCAAAAAATTGCTTGCACTCCCATCTTGAGAGGTTACTTAAACAGCTCACTGCATGTAGCTTAGAGAGACGATCCTTAAGTGGAAATCAAGGAGAAACTTTTCAACTTCAACGAGTGCTTAGCATTGGTAAAAGAAGCTAGTGGCTATATTCCTATTGATTCACAACTATGCTGTTCATATCAACCCCTGATTGGTTTTATAACAATGCCAAATGATCAGAATTGATCTTAGGGTATACTGCGGAGTTCCCATCTATGTACATGTTGATTTTCTTAGGATGTGTATATGCATGTAAGCTTGTAACCTTTTCATAATCAGAACGATGGAAATTAGAAATTGAACTTTACATGTTTTCAAGTCAAAATAGTGGCATCTCATATTTTTTCAGTTTTCAACGCCTTGTATGATACTGTATAAAAACATCACATTTATACAAAGACAAACTATGAGGGTCTTCAAATGTTACTATTTACCTTCAGACAATTACATTTTTTTCAATAATTTTTTGTAAAATATGTAATTTTTTAAATTTAATGCTATATCATCACATAAAATTTTCTAGCTGATAAAAACAAATATACAATTTCCAGATACAGATTCTAATTTTGTTGGCTAATTATTGTTCTTTAAAGACAACTACATAAGTTATACAACATAGGGAGAAAATAATGATGAAAACATCAATAGTGATAGCAGAAATAGTTTGATCACTAAGCTTCATATTCTTTCCACCAAGGCGATCAACCATATCTGGAACAGGTTTATAATTTTTAATTGCTATCTCATAAGGATCCTCTAATTTAATTTTCAACTTCTCTTCTTGACGACTCGCAACCTCTTGAGCCAGTGTCCAATCATAAAATCTCCTACTTTCTTCATTGCTGAGAACATTGTAAACTTCTCTTAATTTCATGAACTTTTCTGAGGCAGTCTTCAGAGGGAGTGAAGTTGTGTCTGGATGATACTCTTTTGATAGTTTTCTGAAAGCTACTTTGATTTCTTCTACATCAGATTCGGGTGATATTCCCAAGAATCTGCTTGTCATGTCAACAAACAAGTTTTCTCATGAAACAAATTTCTTTGAAAAAAACCACAGTTAAAAAGAACATAGAAAATATAAAAAACTCACTCGTAATGAGAACCTTGAAAATTTAGCAAATCAGCAAAATCTTCACCTAAAAGCTTCTTAGGTTTCACTTCTGCATTAGTCTGTTGCTGTTTTGAGCTACCTCCAATCCAACCTTCATCTTCGTTTTCCCAATGGATTCTTGTGTCAGTTCCAGGTGGTACCTTTCGGGGTCCTTGAGAGTCCTTAGAAGCATGAACTTGCAAAATTGTGTAAGACTTTGTGGTTGTCGTTGTCCTAAAAAACCTCACTCCTTTTATTGTTTTTGTGTTTCCTAAGATTGGGTTGAATAATAGAATCCGTGGAGAATGTGTTGCTGTGGAAGCCATGAGAGTGGAGCAGAAAAGAATGTTGAGATTTTGGGAAAGCTAGGAAACAATACATGCCCCACGTTCTGTTCTGTTTTATTTTATTTTATTTTTTTTTAATTTTTTTTTGTGTGGTTCTCACTAAATTTGAAATATTAAGATTATTTTAACTATATTCCAATACAATAACGGGCTTAATTAAAAAGTCCAACCTAAAAAAACATAACTATATTCCTATATAATTAATTATGCAAACATATATATATATATATATATATATATATATATATTTAAATTAATTAAATTATTTATTCCACAATTATAAATTTTAATTGATAAACAATCAAATTAAGTAATAAAATTAATTATATTTTTAGTTGATAATACATAAATTAATTAATTTTTATGAACTCAAAATATAAGTGAATATAAAAAATGTTCATTATTCCATTGTATAGAAAAATGGATTTTTGTGTGATTTTTTATGGTTTATTATTATTTTTTTTTGTTTTTATCCTTGTGCGTGATTTATTTTTGTTTTTTTTAATCCTTGTGCGTGATTTATTATTATTTTTTTTAATCCTTGTGCGCAAATTGTATGTATTTTTGAAAAATAAATACATGTAAATTAGAAATTTACATCTCATGGAAATGTTTTTGGTTCATATAAATTCTTTTAATATAACAGTAACAAATTCTAAATTTTAAAGATAATAAGTGAACTAAATCTGTGCAAGTATACATCAATTTAATTAGGGTAAATGAATTTATAAATTAAAAAAGTGAACGTGCTCATTTTCTTTTTACAAGTAGCTGAATTCGATTTTTAACGAATACACAAATTCATTTCTTATAACCAATATATGAATGTAAATATTAAAATGGCCTATGAATTTCACTCCTTTTAAATACAATATTATTAAAAGAAATTAAATTTTTTTAAGAGACTAGAAAAACATTACGGGACATAACTTTGATGAAAGAAAATAAAGCCCAATTTAAATATAAGAAATAATTATTATTTAAGTTTAAACTATTTGATCTATCTCTAATATATATTTGTAAAAATTATTTATAATGGGTAGGATTAAAATTTGCAAAATGAATACGGGTATTGACACGAAGAATTATTCAGTAAAATAAGTGGACATGTGTTTGGGTGCATCCCGCCCCATACCATATATATATATATATATATATATATATATATATATATATATATATATATATATATATATATATATATATATATATATATATATATATATATATATATATATATATATATATATATATATATATATATATATATGTTAATTTATCATTTTTGTAAAATACATCACCATTAAAATCGCATGCATTTTAATATAAATGTTTATTTATTTCTTAACTCAATAATAATATTATTGATTTTTTTTTAATGTTTTATAAACTTAAAATCACATGAAAAAGTATAATTGATCAATTAGTTTTTATTATAAATATGGATAAATGGATATGAGTACGGGTACTTACGTACGCATAAGATATGAATACGAGTACACATGTTATTGCTCACACAGGTATAAATACGGGTACGATTTTTTTTTATAAAATCGCGAGTATAAGAATGAATACTATAATACCTTATCCAAATCCTACCCATTGTCATTCCTAATTTAAACTCTCAAAAATCAATTCTATTACTATTATTAAGTTCAAAAATATTAGATACAAGTTTCAACTAAATGAAACTAAAGTCATTCAAATCTAGGGAGACAATCTTGTAAGCATATAGATTTCTTTCCATATAAATATAAAACCACATAACAAATAAGTTTGAAAATCTCTAAGCAACTAACCCATCTAATAATGAGATTCAATGGAACAATGACCTTATTCTTAAATGTCGAGTTTACCATTTGAGAATCAAAATCTAAGCAAAGAAACTTTAATCCTTTCTTAACAGCTAGCATAACATCAACCAATTATGCATGAAGTGATGCTAAAATGGTTGGAATCAATCTTGATAGAACATAATTCAATAATTTTTTTGATTGATTTAAGATTCTTGTTCTTCATTCTTCACTCAAGTGATTCAACCACACGTTTGATTGCAAGATAATTTCTTGGCACAATGATTTGAAAAAGAAAAGAAATTTATTTGAAGTTATGAGATAGAAGATACAATTGAGAGAGTATTGGTTATTGAAGTGAATGGAAGAATGTATTGATCTTCTCTTGATCTCACTGTTTTGATATCTTTTATTACAAAGACAAAGTGCATTCCTATTTATAATAAGACTACTTGCACATTAAGCAATCTCAAACTAACTAACTCATATATGACTCTATCGAATACATACAACTTTGAATACTACAAGCTGTACGTGACTCTATCGAATACATACAGATTCGACTTTGTCGAATCCCGCATGTACAAACATGCTTAAGATAAATATCACATATTTAACACATCACCTAATTCATCGTGTCTAAGCTATCTAAATTTATCATAGTGCTCAATCTCTCGAACAATTCAACATGCACAACCTTTGACATGATGTCTGCAATCTAATTTTCAATTTTGCAATGTTCCATGTTCAATTTCCCATCTATTACTTGCTCTCCAAGATATAGGAATCTCATCTCAATGTGTTTGCTTCTTCCATGTGCTTTTATATTCTTGGCCAAGTTGATGGCAAGCATGTTATCAATCTTCATGATCATTGCTCCACGATTCTTTCCTGTAACTTCCTCAATCTAATTCACCATCCATGTTGCTTGACATGCAGAAAGTGAGGCAACTACGTATGCAACCTCACATGATGACATAGCTACAAGTGGTTCTTTTCTTGAGCTTCAAGCAACTTGTGTACCACCTAGCATAAACACATAACCAGTTGTGGATTTTCTATCCTCAACATCACCACACCAACTTGAGTCAGCGTATTCCACTAGTTTGCATTCCTTTCCTTTATATGCTACATGAAACAAAATGCCTTAATCTAGTGTTCCTTTTAGGTACCTTAATATCCTCTTGGTGGCAGCAAGGTGAGATACCTTTGACTTTTGCATGAATCTATTCACCATGCATACACTATATGCTAGATTATGACTTATATGACAAATGTATCTCAATTATCCAATGACTCTTTTGTATTGTGTTGGATCAACATCAGCTTCATTTTAATCCTTCATTAGTTGCAGTCTTGGTTCATATGGGGTCGAAGCTGCATTACAGTCTTCCATCTCAAATCTTTTAGTATCTCACTTGCATATCTCCTTTTGTGCATCATCAAGCCTCTACTACTATAATAGAATTCAATACGAAGGAATATATGAGATGTTGCCTAGGTCGTACATTTCAAACTCAGGTCACATTTGAAATTTTCAATCTCCTTCTTGCAGATGTCTGTTATCATCAGGTCATCTACATAGAGATAAAGTATGAGCAATTCACTTCACATTCTCCTAAAAAATACACCATGTTCAGTTGTACACTTAAAAAAATCCTTCTCCTTATAAAATCATCTATATTTTTATTCCAAGCTCTTGGAGATGTTTGAGTCCATATAGAGCTTTATGCAACTCCTATACATTAATTTCTTGGCCTTGTTTCACAAAATCAATTGGTTGTGCTACATAAACTTCTTCATCTAAGGGGCGATTCAAAAATGCATATTTCACATCAATTTGACATAGTTGCTTATGTTTTCTAGGCCAA